CGTCGCGTTGCTCGCGTTAACTCCCCAAGCTCAAGACACGCCCACCGCCAAGCGGCAATGCACGCCGCCGTGTGTAGGCTGAGAGCCTTCATTTTAAGGACATTTCGGATTGCACCGGATTGGCAAAACAGGAGAGTGTGTGCACCAGTCTGCCTTGATCTATGAATTCATGTCCGTGACACTCACAGTATCTGCTGCCCACAGCTGGTTTATAGAAGGAAAACCTCCTTCACTTCATGAAATCTCTGCGGCACCAGGAGGCAGCGGGAGGGTTAACTCAGCCTCTGAGAAGAGGAGCGCGCAGTGCCTTTCATGCACCGCCTTCACTGTGCTTACCTTCAGAAAGAATCATTAGAAAGGCTAAAGAGCGACCCCAGGCTGATGTGTTTTAGCCACACACACCTCTACACACACACACACACAATTTAAACGCAGACTTTTGTTCCTCCATGTTACGTTGTTATTGTTTCACTGAGCGGACCCGCAATTTTTTTTTAAACGCTCCCTTTTTTTGGTCCACCTGCGGCGGTAATAGGTTTTGTGCGCTGTGATGATTCGGCTGTACCTTTAGTAATGAATATTAAATGTTGTGAGGAAATCTTTCCACCAATAATTCCAATAAGTAATCCAAAATGTATTCACTTCAGGTTTACGAAAGTAACTGTAATCAGATTACTCGTTTTTCAAATGTAACGCGAGCTGAATACAGTTACTTGATTTTTGTATTCTGATTACGTAACGCCGTTACATGTATTCCGTTACAACCCAACCCTGTCTGTTTTCAATTGAGGAGTGGATGTCAAGCAACTTCATACAGCTCAATGCATCAAAAACAGAAGTCTTGATCTTAGCGGCTGATAACATCGCCTCTAAGGTAGCAAGCCACCTGGATTCATTTAGTGGTAACGTTAGGGCAAACATAAAAAACCTTGGTGTAACCTTCGGTCAGTCTATGCTACTAGACAAACACATCAAACTCCTGACCCGTACCTGTTTGTTCCACCTCAGGAACATTGCCAAGCTCAGGGGCTTTCTATCCAATGCAGAACTGGAGATGGCTATCCATGCCTTTATTTCATCCCGGCTTGATTAATGTAATGATCTGTTCTCCTGCCTCAACAAAAACATCAATAAACCGGCTACAACAGGTCCAAAATGCTGCAGCCAGGTTACTCACTCGGTCCAAAAAAACATGCCACATCACTCCGATCCTTTTTGCCCTGCACTGGCTCCCTGTCCATCTCAGAACCCAATGTAAGGTATTGGTTTACACATATAGAGCTGTCCATGGCCAAGCCCCCGCCTACATTAACGACCTTATCCACCCTCACAGGACAACCGAGCAAGGCCTCTCAAGGGTGCCCCGAACCAGGCTAAAAAAACTAAGGGGGACCGTGCCTTTGACCACTGACGCCACTGACGCCTTCAAGAAAGGCCTAAAAACCTTTCTTTTTAAAAAAGCTTTTGATTAAAACTTTTGTTTATTTTGTTTGTTTTTATTATGCCTCCTGTAGCACCTTGGGATTGCTGTTAGCAATGAAAGGTGCTTTATAAATTGAATTTATTATTATTATTATTATTTGAGGCGGTGGCTAGTGATGTTACGTATTGCGCCGAGGCTTCGGAGCGTGTGTCGAGTAATCCCCGAAGCTTTTTGTGAAGCCTGTATCGAGGCTTGTATCGTTTTGGGCCAGTGACGTCATCGATGACAAACGAAGCCTCGCTGCCTGTCGATACCACATGACTGCTTCAGGAAGCGCTTCAGATCTTGGCGCGAGCTTCTGACAGATAAAAACCCATGGGATTCAATTCAAGATGTGTGAACCTTGTGATAGAGGAGAACACTTGTCGTTTGCCAGTTTTGGTTGTACGATATTTTTGCAACTCGTTAGAATGGAGCCAGCAAAGAAGAGAAGGACTTCCCCTGTGTGGGAACACATTGATCTGATTTCTCCCAATAAGGTAGGTTGCATACATAGTATATTACAACAGATGTATTATGTTAGATTTTGAATGGTTCATTTTTTTCCTTTTTCTATTTCATTCAAAGGTGAAGTGTTTATTGTGCTCCAGGGAACTGGGTTACAATAATAATACTTCATCCATGCTAAGGCATTATCGTGCCATACATGAGATCAAGGAGGGACATGGAGGTGGACCTGCTCAAGGTTTGTAATTTAATATTTTGGAATAATATATTTTATAATTTAACCATGTTAACTTCACTTTATCATGCAAATAAAGAAAGTTACAAGATACTCATTCTTAACACAGCTTCCCTTATCCCCCCCAGCTAGGCCTACCAGAAAACAGGATCTGGATGAGGCCTTGGTCAACCTGATTGTGAAGGATACACAGCCATTCAGTGTTGTGGAGGATGTGGGATTTAGGGCATTTGTGGCCTTATTGGATCCAAACTATGTCATCCCCACACGGCAGGTGTGTAAGACTTCATGTATAGAGCAACATTTTAATTTTTTCATGGCATTTGACAATGAACCAGTGAATTAACCATCCCCTCTTTTAGGCTGTTAAGGCTATGGTGGATGCCAAGTATGTTCTAGAAAGGAACAAGGCCATAGCTGAAATGCAGAAGGTGGCTGCAGTGAGCTTGACCTCTGACATGTGGACGTCCATCAATATGGATGCCTATCTGGCTGTAACCTGCCACTTTGTTGACGATAACACACGTCTTAATTCTGTGTTGTTAGGAGTGCAACAATTTCCCCAAACACACACTGCTGAAAACCTGGCCAGAGTGAAAACCTCCCTCATGGAGGAATGGGGAATCACAGACAAGGTCACTTGCCTTGTGACGGATGGTGCAGCCAATATGATTTCCTGTGGCAAACAATTAAAGCTACGTCATGCAATATGCATTGCACATACACTAAATTTGATTGTCAAAAAATCTCTTGCATGACCCCTGTGCTGTGTGATATTCGGGCCAAGGCAAGAAAACTGGTGGGATATTTCAGGAGCAGCACCCTTGCTAAGGTATGTGCTTTGACCTTTCTTACATTGGTTAATAATAAATAATAATAATAATAATAATAATAATAATAATAATGCTATATTTATGTTACTGCTACTTTGACAATTAAATACATCTTTAATTTTGTGTTAAAGGAGAAGCTTGTATTGGTGCAAAGGCATTGGGAAGGCCCACACTGAAGCTCCTGCAAGAGGTGGAGACCCGCTGGAACAGCACTTATCACATGCTGCAACGTCTGGTGGACCTCAGAGAACCAGTTGGTGCGGTATTAGCCAGTTTGAACACGGAAATCACCACACTGACCTCTGCTGAGTTCACCACCATAAGTGGGTGCCTCTCTCTGCTGTCTGGATTCAATGATGCCACCATTGAGCTTTCTGAGGAGAAAAATGTATCTGGTTCCAAGGTTGTGCCCCTCCTCAAAATGCTGGAGCAAATGCTTCAAGAAAAGATGGCAAAAACCGCAGTAGCAGTGGCCAAAGAAATGGGAGAACATCTATTAAGGCAGCTAAGAGAGAGGCTCCACACACTCCAATCAATGAGCATAATGTCATTGGCAACACTACTGGACCCTAGGTTCAAACTGATCTGATTTTTTAGCCCTTTAAAAGCTGCAGAAGCCACAAAAAGGCTTGTGACTGAATGTGGTGCACTAATCCGAACACCTGAAGCTGTGCAGGAAGAAAATCCATCCACATCTCAACCTGAACAAGAAACCCCAGGTCATTTTTATTAATTTTAAAGCAATTTGAAGTAATTACTACATCCACTGACACTCTCTGTGTATACTTTTCAGGAAACAAACTCTGGCATAAATCGGATCAGACTGTAAAGCTGTCCAGGAAGACCAAGAATGCGACAGCTGACGCAACTGTTGAAGTCCAGCGGTACCTGGCCGAACCAAATATTGGACGCTTGGAGGACCCTCTGAACTACTGGCAGACACAAAAACATGTGTATCCAAACCTGCATAAACTTGCAGTCACTTTTTTGTGCACACCTGCTTCCTCAGTCCCGTGTGAAAGGGTATTTTCAAAGGCAAGTTGTATCAAAGAAAAGAAATCACCTATGCCCGAAAACTGTCGAAAAAATATTGTTTTTAAACAAAAAACAATAAAATGGTTCCATATCACAAGCATTTTCACTGCCCTTTGCAAAGTCACATAAGCACATTCACTGCCCTTTGCAAAGTCACACAAGCATATTCACTGCCCTCTGGCAAGTTAAACCCTTCTTCTTTTCCAGTTTTCGAACATATATTGCTTCTTTTGTCTTTATAGAAGGCAGCAGACATTTACATTTATTTATGTATAGATATAACAACAAGATACTATATTGATACATTGTTTTTATTATTATATACAGTCATTTTAAAACACTTCATGCTGCAAAATTCTGTTCATACAGGATTACAAATACATTTTACATATTTTACACTTTTGTATCATTATTTCCAGTATTTTTAGTATGTCAAAGATTACAAATAATATTTGGCTGTTTTACACCTGTTCACCAACAGGGGGTCTTGTGTGCACATGAAGCCCATGATGAAGCCTCATGAGATGAACCTTAGTTAACCGATTTGCTGGAAAGCTTCAAAGCTTCATAAGGCTTCATCTCGCCATCACTAGCGGTGGCCCCTATGGAATAAACTCCCCAACTGAGAGCCTCTGTCTCAGTGGAGGTTTTTAAGGGGCAGCTAAAGACTCACCTTTTCCGACAGGCAGGAGGAGGAGGTGAGTTTGTAGCTGTTTCTCATTGGTGTTTTATCCTATCTTTTACTGGATGTGTTTTATGCCTTTTATTCTAAACAAAAACATTTTTCCCAATGTTTAAAATCTGTCCCATGTGTATATATTGTTATTTTTATGATTATTATTATTATTAATAATAATGTAATTATTTATTTTAATACCGTTAGTTTTTTCACCACAGGGGGCAGTGAAATTATGTTTAAAAGAAAAACTAAAATCCCATGATGCATTGCGGTGGTCCGTTTCTAGCTTCCGGTCCTCAGAAGCTCCACGTTGCAAACAGACGTTGATGCAGATTTTATACCGAATGTAATGTGTTTAAGAGACTTTTAAAACACATACAAAGAGTTAGGTTATCCCTGGAGGGTGATTTGTCCGTGCTTTTATCCGTTACACCGTGTTTTTGTTGCCGTTTTTTGTTCGTAGCTTTTTATACCACGTTGCAAGAAAGAGTGAAGAACCAGGACGAAGAGGAGAGAGAGAGGTAACGTGTGTGTGTTTTTTTTTAATGACTATACTGCAGGGTCGCTTTAAAAGTACACAGATCTTGTACTTGAGTACTTAGAAGTACTCAGATCTTGTACTTGAGTACTTAGAAGTACTCAGAAGTACTCGGATCTTGTACTTGAGTAAAAGTACTCAGATCTTGTACTTGAGTACGTAGAAGTACTCAGATCTTGTACTTGAGTACTTAGAAGTACTCAGATCTTGCACTTGAGTAAAAGTAGAAGTACCAGAGTGTAGGAATATTCTGTTACAGTAAAAGCGCAGCACTTCCGGGTTTTAGGACGCGTCATTGCACCACTAAGTTGATGCGATTTGATTGGATTGTGAGGCAAGGGAAGCCAGCCGCCTCTGGCTTCCCTTGGCATGGCCCTGATCAATCACAGGTTGGCAAGGGCATGACGTGAGCCTCGTCTGATTGGTCAATCCCTCCATTTTTTTCACCAAGGGAAGCCAATTTCGGCTGGCCTCCTCTCGCAACAGTGAGTGCAATCTACTGTTTTACCATAACATCTAGAGGGGCGCTGTTTCCCTCTTTGTAAAATACTCAATGAGAATGGGGGAGAGATGGGCCGGTGTTGTGCCAAATTATGCACCCCGTCATGAAATGCCCCCCTTGTCACGGGAACGCGCATTTCTAAATGACACGTTTACACCTTAAAACGATGTTTAAAACGAAAAGTAAACGTTCAGGGTTTTTATTAATGGTAATTTTCAGACTGTGAGTTGTTTAGTGGTAGCTCATATAGTCTTGATTCTTGTGGTTAAACTTTTCGCTCCGTATTTGATGGTAGTGGTGTCGAAATTCATTCGTCACTTCCTTTTCAGTTTTTTTTTTAAATCTTTTTTTTTTGTTATTGTTACGTCCTGTCTGTATACACGTGCTTTAAAATGTATTGTTTAATTTTACATATTTGTCATATAATAATCAAAATATATGTTTACAAATGTTACATAGTCTTTGTCAGCATATTTTTAAGGGGGGCATTTCATGACAGGGGGGCATAATTTGGCACAACACCGGCAGCAACACACAGCAAAGAAGAATGACCGAAACTAAACGAAGAGTTTTTATTTATTTATTAAAATTATAACTACAATCCGAAAAAAACAGGGGAAGCCTGGCTTCCCTTGGACTCCAGGAGAAAACACCACTGATTGTTCCTCAAGTAAAAGTAGAAAAGTATTATCATCAAAATATAGTTAAAGTAGCGACAGTAAAAGTATTCATTGTGCAGATTGGTCCATTTCAGAATAATATATATGATATGTTTTATAATGATTGATCATTAAAGTGTTCTCAAAGCTGGTAAAGGTGCAGCTAGTTTGAATGACTTTGTATACTGCAGGGTAGCTTGTGAATTTACTCCAGGTGGAACTAAAGTCTGATTTAACACTTGATTATATTTCACATCATTCATCCACATCTGTAAAGTAACTAAAGGTATTAAATACATGTAGTGGAGTAAAAGTACACCATGTACCTCTGAACTGTTCTAAAAGTACAAAGTAGCATTACATGGAAAATACTCAAGTAAAGTAAAAGTACCTCTAAATGGTACTTAAGTACAGTTCTTGAGTAAATGTACTTAGTTACTTCTCACCTCTGCTATGAACCTAAGAAGTAGCTGTAGATTAGTTTTGTTGTGTCTGTCGGTTGTATTGAGTTATCTTGTTTTGTGTCAGCTGTAGTTGTGTTGATTATTTCAGAGACACAGCCGGAGAAGGAGCTCTGAGAGCAGCATGGAGGAGAACAAAGAGACCCCTGGAGCTCAGGTCAGTGTGCACTTCATCACAATATATTCCTATCACTGTTATCCCCAAATGAAAGATCACAACCTGTTTAGAAAATACAATATGAATGCCCAATATGGTTAGATGGTTAGAACGTTGTTGTATAAGATAAAACTTTAATGGTCAGATCAAGTCTGAAATGTGACTTGCATCACAGCAGTTCAAGGTTCTTTATTGTCAATCTGACATAGCTACAGAGTAATTATGCAGTTGAAAATCTTATGTCACAGGCTTCTCCAACAATGCAACATAATAACATAACATAATAACAATAAGAGCATGAGCAATACAAAAATAATAATAGTTATAAAAATGAAATAAAGTTATGATGTGGAATAGTGCAGTATGAGTCTATATACAAGTTATTGGAATGATATATATATATTAGGTATTAGATACATACTGCTGAGTAGCAGTTGAATGTTTGATGTTGTTTCAACAGTTCAATTTTTTAACAGTCTCACTGCCCGCGGGAAGAAACTGTCTCCGAATCTTCTTGTCCTTGCCAGGATGCTGCGGTAACGTCTGCCAGACGGCAACAGAAAGAACAGTTTGTGGCTGGGGTGATGGGGGTCTTTGATAATCCGTAGTGATTTCTTCCTGAGCCGCTGGGAGTAAAGGTCCTCCATGGATGGCAGCTCCGTCCTGGTGATGTGCTGTGCAGTTTTCACCACCCTCTGTAAAGCCTTACGATCGAGGTCGGTGCAGCTGCCGTACCAGGCCGTCATGCTGCCAGTGAGGATACTCTCTATCGTGCACCTGTAGAAGTTGCAGAGTATCCTGGAATCCATTTTGAACCTCCTCAACCTGCGGAGGAAGAAGAGCCGCTGTCGAGCTTTCTTGGTGATGGTGGTGGTGTGAAGAGACCATGTCAGGTCCTCAGTGATGTGGACCCCAAGGAACCTGAAGCTTTTGACTCTCTCCACCGTAGTCCCATTGATGGCGATGGGGGCGTGTCCCTCTCCCTGCTGCTTCCTGTAGTCCACAATCAGCTCCTTTGTTTTGCTGATGTTGAGATGGAGGTTGTTCTCCTGGCACCAAGATGTCAGGTTTTCGACCTCCTCTCTGTACGCCGTCTCGTCATCGTCTGTGATCTGGCCGATGACGGTCGTGTCATCAGCAAACTTCACGATGGTGTTGGAGCTGTGTGTGGCCACGCAGTCGTGGGTGAACAGGGAGTAGAGGAGAGGGCTGAGCACGCAGCCTTGAGGGGCACCGGTGTTGAGAATCAGGGTGGAGGATGTGATATTTCCCACCCGCACTGCCTGGGGTCTGCCCGTCAGGAATTCCGGATTCAGTCACAGAGGGCGCTGTTGAGCCTGAGGTCTCTGAGCTTGATGGCCAGCTTGGAGGGCACAATGGTGTTGAATGCTGAACTGTAGTCAATGAACAGCATTCTCACATATGTGTTCCTGTTCTTCGGTTCCAGGTGTGAGAGGGCAGTGTGGAGGGTGAGGGCTATGGCGTCGTCTGTGGACCTGTTTGCTCTGTAGGCAAACTGCAGGGGGTCCAGAGATTCAGGGAGGGAGGAGGTGATGAATAATTTGACTAACCGCTCAAAGCACTTCATTATGATGGAGGTGAGTGCTACTGGGCGGTAGTCGTTGGGGCAGGTGATGATTGTCTTTTTGGGGACAGGAATGATGGTGGAGTGTTTAAAACATGTGGGGACTACAGACTGCAGCAGGGACCTGTTGAAGATGTCTGTGAACACCTCTGCCAGCTGAACTGCACACACCCTGAGAACACGGCCAGGGATGCCATCAGGTCCAGGAGCCTTGTGTGGGTTAACCCTTTTAAAGGATTTACACACATCTGCCCTATTTAAAACAAAAGGGCAGTGTAGCTCCTGGTCCCTCTGTACCTCCACAGCCTGGCTGCTCTCAAAGCGTGCAAAAAAACTGTTTAGCTCATCTGGGAGAGATGCGCACGCAGACACTCCCGCAGCACCCCCCGCTGCTCCTTTGTAGTCAGTCATTGTCCTTAGTCCCGCCCACATATTCCTAGTGTTACAGCCTTTGAAGTCAGATTCCACCTTGTTTTTGTACTGTCTCTTTGCATTTTTAATTGCTCTCCGGAGATCATACCTAGACTTCCTGTACTCCTCCAAATCTCCCGCTGTGTGCGCGAGAGTGCGCGCTTTCAGTTTGCCGCACACCTCACCGTTTACCCAGGGCTTTTGATTTGGGAATGTCCGTACAGAAACCTTCGGTACCACGTCATCGATGCATTTCCCAATGTAGCAGATGACAGTGTCCGTGTGTGTGTTGATGTTATTGTCCTCAAACACACTCCAATCCGTGGATGCAAAGCAATCCTGCAGTGCCTCATCTGACTCCTCGCTCCATCGTTGTACTGTCCTTGTTATCGGTCTGTCCCTTTTAAGTTTCTGCTTGTACGCAGGCAACAACAGTAGTGAGATATGGTCTGATTTGCCGAAGGGAGGGCGAGGGAGAGCCTTATATCCATTCCGGAAAGGGGAATAAACATGGTCCAGTATGTTTCCCCCGCGCGTCGGGAAGTTGATGTGTTGGTAATATTTTGGCAAAACCTTCTTCATGTTGGCGGTGTTGAAATCTCCGGCCACAACGAACGCCGCATCTGGCCGTGAAGTCTCGGTCTTATCAATAATCCCAAACAGCTGATCGAGTGCCGTGTTGTTGTCGGCGAGTGGCTGCGGCGGGATATACACTGCTGTTATCACAACAGATGTGAATTCCCTCGGCAGATGGAAGGCCCGACATGAGATCATGAGGTGCTCTAGCTGTGCGGAACAGTCCGATGAAATGTGTAACATGTGTAACATCAACATAAACAAATATCAAGACACAATACATGAAAAACAAACAAACATTTAACATAACAGCAGGATCAGTGAGAGACAACCTGCTCAAAGAGCCTTCAGCGTGCTTTTGATCTGGATTCAGCTCTGTGTTTACTGAGAGGACTGACTGGAGCACAAAGGATGCTTCAGTCTGACTTTATTGAATCTCCATTAGATGGCAGCAATTCATATTCTCTGTTCAGAGCATGCTTTGAGTCCCAAATGATGTTGTTGGACAGCCTCTCAGGTTATTATGGTCTGCTGAGTCAGAAAGTCTCTGACAGGGTGACCAACAATCTTTGAGCAGATTTTTAACAGGTGGAGCCGTTTTGATTTTAAAGCTGTTGACAAACACTTGTACCAGGTAGCATTGCAGTACTGTAGAACAGGGGTTCCCAAACTTTTCAGCCCGCGACCCCCAAAATAGCTGTGCCAGAGACTGGCTATCCCCGCCACGTGAATTGTCAACGGGGGGGTTGCCGCGACCGCTGTTTGCACCATGAAATCAGAGGTATCGTTGGAAAGCTCCGTCTCTCCTGCACAATCTCATCAGATCCAAATATGGTCATTTCCTTTGTATCAGCAACCAATCATGAAAGTACAAAGGGGTCTTAAACCAAAAAACTAAATCTCATTGGCTGGTGTCAATTTCTGACAACGTGATTCGTTCAGATGCGTCACGTGGTGTGCTAAAACACTTCCTGGTTAGCTTTCCGCTGGAAATTTAAATCTCAAAATGGCAAAAGAACAGCGATAAAAACGTTCACAGAGAAGACGACAACAATTGTCACTTGCACGAAGCAAGGTTATAGTTGCGGGTTGCGGTTGATTTGATCTGTATGGATGACAATGGGGACTTTATGGGAGTCAGATGGTGAGCCAAAAACGATTTCCTCAGTTTTCTTGGTGTTGATCTCAAGAGCATTATCAGTCCACTCGACCACCTGATTTACAGCCTGTTGGTGCAGCTCAGGGTCGTCTGTGTTACTTAGCAGAGATATTATTGCAGTATCATCAGAGTACTTAATTATGAATTGATGTGGTGTGTTGGTACGACAATCATCAGTGTAGAGCAGGGGTGTCAAACTCAATTTTATCGCGGGCCACATCAGCATTATGGCTGTACTCAAAGGGCCGGTTGTAACTTTAAGACTATATAAAAATACATATATAAATATTTAACATGTATAAAATAATGTATTATATTACATTATTGCCTTTGCATTGGATTATTATCAGATAGGGGAATAACTTCATGATTAACTACGTATGAAGTCTAGGGCAAATAATTGCAAGTCTCTTCAGTGAGAATGTTACAATAACATTTCAAAAGAAAAGCCAAATTCTGGGGGAAAAAAGTCAAAATCCAAAAAAAGAATTACAATTTTGAGAAAAAATAGTGAAATGTTGGGAAAAAAAGTCAAATTCTGAGAAAAAAGTAAAGTTTGAGATGCATTGTGGGACATGTAGTTTATGGGCAACGTGCTTCTGTAAAGCGGCATGTAACCGTATAATAAACATATTATATTCTTTCAGAGCTCTTGTGGGCCACATGAAATGAAGTCGCGGGCCGGATTTGGCCCCCGGGCCTTGAGTTTGACACCCCTGGTGTAGAGAGTAAGGCAAGGCAAGTTTTATTTCAAAGTGCTTTACAAAAGTGAAAGACAGAAAATAGTATTTACAACCTTTTTTCTGTCCTTTAACCTGTGGAACCTAATTGCTGCAGGTCTCCCTTGAAAAAGAGATCTATGGTCTCAAGGGACAATCTGGATAAATAAAGGTTTGAGAACCTGTTAAACCCCAAGCCTGTTTTTCAGGTCTCAGGCTCAAATGTCACTTGTTTTGCATTAATCTTGATACAGGGTACTTATTATATGTTATAGTTTGGATCCCATCATTCAAGGGTGGTTTTCACTATAAGTAATGGTTTATTTTTGGACGGACACTATCATTTACATTTTCTTTTACTATGTTCAATCTGAATTTACTTTAAAATAAAAAAAATCTATATTGATTCTGACTTTTCTACATCCAACTCACAGGTTTATCATTGCTTTGAGAAAAAAGTTTATTAATGTACCCCTTTTAGAAGAAGTTATGGTCATTTGTTCTGGGAATGTCATTTTCGAGCCTGAGACCTGAAAAACAGGCTTGGGGC